GTTTTTGCGGCTGTCTGACCAGGCAGTGCCGCGACGCTACCATCTGCCGGATAATGGCTGAACGCCTCTAAGTCAGAATCCGTGCCGGAACGCGGTGATGTTGCCCCGCACGTCGTAGTTGGATACGAATAGGCCTCCGGGCCACGAACCTCAGCAGGCTGGCGACGGCTCCCGGGGAGAAACCCCTAGGGGCTGGCTGGCGGATTGTAATGTCACCTCGCGCGGGGATGAATCCTCTGCAGACGACTGAAGTGACCAAGCGGGTCGTGTACGCGGTCAAGTAGCCTTGTTGCTACGAGTCGCTGAGCGTCAGCCCGATCCTTGGCTAGATTTGTGCAAATAACACCCTCCCATCAACGTGCTCGGCAGCGCCGGGTGCTTGGAGGGGGGGGGAAAGGGTACCGGGTAGGCCAACCGCCTGCCGGAGACCACTGTTCCTTCTTCTGGCTTCCGAGATCCCCTCCGAGGGGTCTTGGGGGTCCTTCTCCTCTGGCGGAAGCCGGAGCCAGTTGGCCGCAAGGGGACCCATTCGCCCGGCCGGACGGGCGGTTTCGCGGTTTGGCCGGGTGCTGGGCCAGTTGGCCAGCGGGGAGCGACTTGTGGATGGCGCCGCGGGAGACGGCAACCGGGATTTTTTCCGCGGGACCCCTCCCCTGCCCACGCACACTCATGTGGCCCCCGGGGCGGGCGTCGCCGGGCCGGGGGGTGCCCTTCCTGGCGGGCAAGGGGCCTGGGGCGGCGGATATCAGGGTCACGTGCCCGGGGGTGGGTGGCCCGTGGAGCAAAAGGGACGGGGGCGGGTGGGCGCCGGAAGGGGCAAAGGCCCACCACCAGGCCAGTTGGCCGCGCTGGGGCTCGAGGGGCGGCAGGACGGTCACGTGGGCAGGGGGCTCCCGGGCTCCCTGGTCGAATGGACCTGGGGTGGCCCACCGCCAGACCAGTTGGCGCGGAGGGGACTTGGGGAAAATACAGAGGTAGGTAGATAGTGCCTGCCGGTTGGGGATGGAGGGTCCCCGGGAGGGAAGGTACGGGGGTGGGTGGCACCTGCCGTTCCTGGGTGCGAGGCCCCCGGGAAGGAAGGAACGGGGGCGGGTCGCGCCTGCCGGTTGGGGATGGAGGGTCCCCGGGAGGGAAGGAACGGGGGTGGGTGGCACCTGCCGTCTAGGGAGAGGGGTGTATATATATATCCACACACCCAGACACACCCAGACTCACACACACACGCACACACGCACGCACGTATGTATATCAGTGGAAGCCAAACATGCAGATAGCCCCATGCGCGCATCCAGCCCGGACCAACCCCCCC